TCAAGATCACATCTGTCTTCTCTCCAAGTTCTTCTTCTCAGTAAGTTTCCACCTTGCCCAGCAGCCATGGGCCATGTTATATCCATCTCTTTTCCCATCCCTTGGGTATTTTACAGCAGATGTGCTGGCAGGACCTGCTGTCCATGACACAAACCATCATCTCTTCACACATAAAAGAAGAGCCACAAACACCAGCATGGACAGTCAGAAATACTTTCCACCCTGCTCTATTGTTCTTACTTTTCTCTGCATTTGCATGAGACAAAGTCTTTTTATGGTTGTTCCATTGCTGCTTGCTCATTGTAGGAGCTTCCTTTGTCTTTTTATCTACCAACAACTTCATAACTTTGCATCTTCCTGGAAAAACACTGGTACAGAGGCAGGAATCAGACTGGCTACCACCTGCTGAATGTTTTGAGAAGGGACCTTGTGGAGAGCAGATACCATTTTCTTGTTGAAAATGCTGCCATTTATGAACAAGGTGTTGATCTGTGTTATTTTTTGATGCCTCTGAACTACTGGGACCAGATCATTGAGCCCATCAGAGGTAGGTGCTCAAGACGTTTTACACAGCAAAGGGACTTTCTGTTCCCCAGGTACAGAGACATTCAAAGGTCCAGAAGCTGATGAGTCCACATTTGAGAATGCACCATTTGAAAGGACATTTACAACTGGATGATGTCTGAAAAATCATGCATTAAACAGGCAGAGTATGATTATATATCATACATCCTGTGGACACAGGACAGGCTTTTTTGACTATTGGACTCAGTGATCTTAGAGGTCATTTCCAACCATCATGATTGTGTGATATAGATCACAGAATCAGGGACAAGGGAAGGTTAAGGGTGGGAGGAGCTCTCTGGAGGTCACCTGCCCAACCCTCCTGCTCAAGCAGGGCCACCCAGAGCTGGTCACTCAGAACTGTGTCCAGGTGGTGTAGGATTATCTTCAAGGACAGAGAATCCACCATCTCCCAGGGCAACCTGCTCCAGTGCTTGCTCACCCTCACAGTGCAAAAGCATTTTCTGCTGGTCAAGGAGCCTCCTCTGCTTCAGTTTGTGCCTGTTACCTCTGGTTGTGTCACTGGGCACCACAGAGAAGAGCCTGGTTCTGCCCTCCCTGCATCCTCTCTGGGTATTTACATGTATTTGTGAGATCCTCCTGAGCCTTCTCCAGGCAGATGAACAAGCCACCAGCAGAAGAATGCATTTGCAGCTTCATCAGGCAGGTAAGAGGGGTCTTCCACTAGTTACACCTGATCCAGGTCTCAACAAGAGGCTGTAGTAGAAGGAGATTCCTGTAAAACTTCTCAGACCTTCCCCACTGGGAGAGGCCTCAAGTGCTCAGAGGGAAGCACTTGCAGCATGGAAGATGATGGTATCTGGTCTGCCCCAAGGATCCACAGCCTTCCCAAAGCTGACAGAGGCAGGTTTGACTTCAGTTCATAGAATCATAGAATCACAGACTGGTTTGGGTCGGAAGAGACCTTAAAGATCATCCAGTTCCAACCCCCCTGCATGGGCAGGGACACCTCCCACCAGCCCAGGCTGCTCCAAGCCCCATCCAACCTGCCCTTCAACACTGCCAGGGATGGGGCAGCCACAGCTTCCCTGGGCAACCTGGGCCAGGCTCTCACCACCCTCACAGGGAAGAACATATATAAGGGGGCAGAAGATTTGTGGGGAAACACAGGAGGGTCTCCAGCCCAGCCCACTCCCCTCACCCAAGCACTGGCAGTGCCAGCAGGGAGATCTTGGCTCTCATCCTGTTGCCAACAAGCCTTCTTTGCAAAAAACATGACCTGTCCTCTCTCCACGAGCCACTCCAAGCTCTGGTGCTGAGACTTGTCAAGCTAACAAGCCACATATCTACATGCAGAGAAATAATGTTAGGGTTCAAAAAAGCCCAGGCAGTGTTTTCAGTCAGGAAATCTTTGCCCAGAGGTGCCAACTTCAAGCAGCAGGATGAGCCTGAGCACAAGACTCTCTTCACCATCTACTCAAGGGCATTTTTTGTCCTAGCCAACACACTACATGTGAGGAATTATTTCCTGCACCCACACAGCTTTTCTGTCAAATGAAACAGGAATTTCTGTACCCAATAATATTTTTTGAAAAGGTCAGTTCTGGTTTTAGGCACTTAGTTCTTGGGATTAGTGCTCAGCTTTACAGCACTGCTAGTCTTTGAGTGCCTTGTTGTTAAGTTGAGGGTCCCATATATATGAAACAGAGATAAAGATGCAACACTCAGAAGTAAAAAGGAATCATTCAAAAGCTTTGATGCAGTCTTACATTGCTATGGCAGGATAGGGGACAACAAATGGAGGAGCAAATTGGTTTAAGTTCAGGATCTTAATAAGGTAGCTTTTATTCCACTGAAGACCCAGATATGAAGCACCTTACACAGGAGAAAAGCAAGTAGACAAGCAGACTATCACCCAAAAAAAGCACCTTAACACCCAGCATAAAACAGAAACCAAAAACCCCACTGCATTACTAGCTTTTATTTCATTTACAGCATGTAAACATGGGCAGATCCTTTCTTCACAATCTTTTCACCAATAAATAAAATGGCAGGGCAATGTTTCCATTTCAAAGTGGTTCCAGCATTGCAGTTTGGACTTCCCTTCTCCTCAACAGAGCTTGATGAACATGAGTTACCTGTCACAAGAAGGGAGCTCCCACACAACTATGGACAAAGTGTTCCTGTGCTCCTCTACATCTAAGGTGGCAACAATTCACACAAGTAACAGACTGAGAATTGTTTTGGCTGGGAAAGTGTTGCTAAACACCAGTAACTTGACCCCAAGTCACTTGTTGTCCAATGGAGAGAGTGGGCTGGAGAAGAGGACAACCCAGCACTGCTGGGTGTCAGGTCTGGGGGAGGCCAAATCACAGGCAGATTTAGATACTAAAAAGGCTGCAGGAGACAGCTTCACCCACCCTGCTCCAAATCTAGTTAAAAGAGCAGTAAATGGAACTGGGCCTGGTACATTTTCATCCCAGTGTGACCCAGCTCCCACAGAACTGAGACCTGTCACACGAGGTTTGCAGTCTCCTTGTTGCCAGAACTGCCCTGCTGGTGGCACCTGATCCCCCTCCTCCAGGGCTGCCCCTGCCATGTCTACATGAGCTGGCAGCTCCGGTTTGGCCGTAGTGGAGATGGAGCCCAAATATTTGATTTGTGAAAGTATGTGATCTTGCAACATGAAAGCACAAACTTCCTAGCTCGAGGCATCTTCCTCGGGTTGTTCCCTCCTGACTCAGAAGCAGCCGGCGCAGGCAGCGTTGGCACAGATCTCACACAGATCAGCCTCCTGAACAGCCTGGTCTGTCAGAGAGAAGAGAGGGTTTCAGTGAGATGGCAGAGCCTCGTGGAGAGCAGAGCAACACAGCCAGGGTTTGGAGGCTCCTTTCTGTTACCACTTTATGAGTTGTGATGTTCCTTGAAGTTATTACCAGCGTAAGTAAAATTAGCTCTTGCAAAAATCTGCCTTAAAGAATGAAATCCAACCTGGATGCCAAGTGGAAACTATGGGAACGTGTGGAGGCAAAAGAACAATAGGACATGGTGTGGGAGGGTGGTGGGAATGAGGCCTGTAGAATCACAACCTTCATTATATTGGTAGTGTTTCTTCCTCAAGTTCCCATTGCACTGGACAGCAGATAACCAGAGGTGCCAACTTCAAGCAGCAGGATGAGCCTGAGCACAAGACTCTCTTCACCATCTACTCAAGGGGATTTTTTTTTTTCCTAGTCAACACACTACATGTGAGGAATTATTTCCTGCACCCACACAGCTTTTCTGTCAAATGAAACAGGAATTTCTGTACCCAATAATATTTTTTGAAAAGGTCAGTTCTGGTTTTAGGCACTTAGTTCTTGGGATTAGTGCTCAGCTTTACAGCACTGCTAGTCTTTGAGTGCCTTGTTGTTAAGTTGAGGGTCCCATATATATGAAACAGAGATAAAGATGCAACACTCAGAAGTAAAAAGGAATCATTCAAAAGCTTTGATGCAGTCTTACATTGCTATGGCAGGATAGGGGACAACAAATGGAGGAGCAAATTGGTTTAAGTTCAGGATCTTAATAAGGTAGCTTTTATTCCACTGAAGACCCAGATATGAAGCACCTTACACAGGAGAAAAGCAAGTAGACAAGCAGACTATCACCCAAAAAAAGCACCTTAACACCCAGCATAAAACAGAAACCAAAAACCCCACTGCATTACTAGCTTTTATTTCATTTACAGCATGTAAACATGGGCAGATCCTTTCTTCACAATCTTTTCACCAATAAATAAAATGGCAGGGCAATGTTTCCATTTCAAAGTGGTTCCAGCATTGCAGTTTGGACTTCCCTTCTCCTCAACAGAGCTTGATGAACATGAGTTACCTGTCACAAGAAGGGAGCTCCCACACAACTATGGACAAAGTGTTCCTGTGCTCCTCTACATCTAAGGTGGCAACAATTCACACAAGTAACAGACTGAGAATTGTTTTGGCTGGGAAAGTGTTGCTAAACACCAGTAACTTGACCCCAAGTCACTTGTTGTCCAATGGAGAGAGTGGGCTGGAGAAGAGGACAACCCAGCACTGCTGGGTGTCAGGTCTGGGGGAGGCCAAATCACAGGCAGATTTAGATACTAAAAAGGCTGCAGGAGACAGCTTCACCCACCCTGCTCCAAATCTAGTTAAAAGAGCAGTAAATGGAACTGGGCCTGGTACATTTTCATCCCAGTGTGACCCAGCTCCCACAGAACTGAGACCTGTCACACGAGGTTTGCAGTCTCCTTGTTGCCAGAACTGCCCTGCTGGTGGCACCTGATCCCCCTCCTCCAGGGCTGCCCCTGCCATGTCTACATGAGCTGGCAGCTCCGGTTTGGCCGTAGTGGAGATGGAGCCCAAATATTTGATTTGTGAAAGTATGTGATCTTGCAACATGAAAGCACAAACTTCCTAGCTCGAGGCATCTTCCTCGGGTTGTTCCCTCCTGGCTCAGAAGCAGCCGGCGCAGGCAGCGTTGGCACAGATCTCACACAGATCAGCCTCCTGAACAGCCTGGTCTGTCAGAGAGAAGAGAGGGTTTCAGTGAGATGGCAGAGCCTCGTGGAGAGCAGAGCAACACAGCCAGGGTTTGGAGGCTCCTTTCTGTTACCACTTTATGAGTTGTGATGTTCCTTGAAGTTATTACCAGCGTAAGTAAAATTAGCTCTTGCAAAAATCTGCCTTAAAGAATGAAATCCAACCTGGATGCCAAGTGGAAACTATGGGAACGTGTGGAGGCAAAAGAACAATAGGACATGGTGTGGGAGGATGGTGGGAATGAGGCCTGTAGAATCACAACCTTCATTATATTGGTAGTGTTTCTTCCTCAAGTTCCCATTGCACTGGACAGCAGATAAATGCAACAGGAATGAAATGAGAAAGCAGCCACTGCAGCAGCCAGTTCAAGAGTCCCTGCCTGTGCCTTGGAGACAGACATGCCTTGGAGACAGATATTAAAAAATCTACTGGTGATGAAAAAAAAAAACCCTGGGAAAAAAACTCACCTCCTCCCTGAGACCAAATATGTGATAATGGGGGAAAACAGGACTTCCATTCTGAATTTGTATCTACCCTGGACATGGCAAAAGATGATCCACCTCACCTACAGCTCACACCTCTTGTAGGCTACCTGGAAAAAACAACTTCTATGATGCTCAGAGAGAGCAATGAGACCTGCTCCCAACTCCTAGTTAGCTAGAAGTGAGCAAGAGATTTCCTGCCAGCCAGAGGACGTGCTGGGCTCTCTCTGGTTGTCACATGCAACTTCTTGGAGGAAGGTTCCTCATGGTTGCAGCAGCCTGAGCTCACCAGCCCACAGCTAAGCTCAGCCAGCAGGCATCTCCCTGCAGGAGCTTCCCAGCTAATGTGGCCCAGCCCCTGCAGCAGGGGTGGCAAAAGGCAGCACAGACCCTCCCAGCTGCTTCAAAAGTGAAACAACAGGGATTACGTTTCTTTGTCTGCTGCTACTTGAATGTTTCAGGCTGTAGAGTGTGAGAAAAAGGGCAACGACACAAGAAGAGCTACATACTCAGCCTCTCAAAAACCCTGAGTGCATCTTCTCTTTTGCACACAGGCTGGAACTCCTTAGGGAGATCCTTTTCATCACATGGAGAATAGCTGGCCTTTGAAACCACCATGCGAGGGTTGATGGGGTTGTTCTCATCCATCAGCTCCTTTAGCTTCTTCACAGACTCAAGGGAGAATCTCAAGTCTCCATCCTGTGTAGACAGAAGCAGAAAAAAAACCCAAGACATCAGGAAGTCAGTCCATGGGCAAATCCATTCCATTGCAACCAGGAGCTCTCCCAAAAATTATCCTACAGCTGAGATAAAACCAGTGCTGATGGAGGTAAAATGATCAGGTTTTCAAGGCAAAGGATCATGGTGGAGGAGGCAGAATTAGTGCTTTTCTCATTCCCACCAAACCTGGACTTGAAAAACATCTGGGAAAGTTCAGCCTGGAAAAGAGATGACTGGGCAATAGGTGGTAGAGATTTACCAAATCCTGAGTTGAATGGGGGTTAAATGGGGTTTTATTTTGTTCACTACTCTTCTGAAACACCAGCAGGGAATTCCCAAGGCTTGGCTGCCCTGTGGCAGGTTCTCACCCCCCAAAAGGAGCTACCCCTTCACATCACATATTGTTGGGAGCTGAAATCCCTCACACCAAGGGACACTGCCAAGGTCCCATCAACTTAAAACTTGTCCACACAACGAATGGAACACAAGTTACTGGCAGCAGAAACGTGACACTTGTGACCCAGAGCTTATACCAAAAGCTTCAGGAATACTCTGGGAAATACTGCTCCATGTTTTAGGTTGCTGGATAATTCCCTAAGTTTCAAGTGAATCCCACTGTTCAGGTGATAAACTCAAATTGCAGATGTTACAGTTGTTAAAGGGTGGGTATGTCTGCAAACAATGGGAGTCTGACCTAGGAGAGAAATCAGCATTTTCAAGCTGATCTTCAGGATGTGTTTGAACCTGGTTTGATGAGCAGCCAACACCTACTCATTCAAAGGAAGAACCTGAAGTGACTCTGATACAGCACAAAACCAAACACAAAATGTCTTTCATAGCCTCAGGAGCCCAGTGTCAAATAGTGTGAGATGCTGGGGGGGGTAGTTGGTTTTGGTTTGTTAGGGTTTTTTATAGAATCACTGAATTTTGGTGTTAAAATGATTTTTAAAACCCAACCAGATAAACTAAATGCATTTACTTAACAAAATCAAACTCTTTTCTACCTGCAATGAGTTTATTATTTTACTCAGATTAATTTACCACTCATGGTTGACAAGAAAAATTAACTTTCCCTGTGTAACTGCAGTTCTAGATTCAGCTCTTGATCACAGACCTCAAAAGCATGAAACAGAAAACTAGAAAAGGATGGATTTCCACAGGTAGTTTCAGAGAAACCAGAAAGTAGGAATGTCCTGGTGACAAAAAACAACAAAGGAATAACAATAAAAAACCCTAAACAAGACCCTCACCACCTCAGGTAAGAAAGATCATAGAATCATGGAATGGTTTGGCTTGGAAGGGACCTTAAAGACCATCTAGATCCAATCCCCTGCATGGGCAGGGACACCTCCCACCAGCCCAGGCTGCTCCAAGCCCCATCCAACCTGCCCTTCAACACTGCCAGGGATGGGGCAGCCACAGGCTCCCTGGGCAACCTGGGCCAGGCTCTCACCACCCTCACAGCAAAGGATTCCCTTCTCATGTCCAACCTAAATCTTCCTTCTTCCAGTTTGAAGCAGCTGCCTCTCATCCCATCCCTCCCTGCCCTTGTCCCAAGTCCCTCCCCAGCTTTCCTGGAGCCCCTCCAGGCACTGGGTTAGACACAGCCCCATCTCAGCACCATCTTCCCTCCAAGATGACACACACACTGTGTCCCTGAACTAAGAGATGTTATCACAGAAACAGTTCAGAACAATTCAACTCTAGTTATTTCTGTCTTTACTCCACACCTACTAAACCATCTTCCTCCCATTTCCATCCTATTCTTTCTGGATCTGTGAAGGGAAGTGTCAAGATAGGGACACTCAGCCTTTAAAAACATGCTGTGAAGTCAAATGAACAACTTCTGACATATCACAGGAGAGGGAAGGGAAGTATTCAGAAGGATTTCAGAAAAGAAGAGCATCAGCCAGCTTTGTGCAGCCTTAGGGACCTCAAGGAACCCAAGGGAAAGGACTGCAACACACACACAGAGCATGAAATCTGGCAAAATACAGATTTAATGACTGATGAGATAAAAATTCAAACTACAAAGAGGTGCTGAAACTCCAGAGCTGCACTTTCTACACTTCTACCCAACCACAAACAGCTCTTCTCATTTTGCTCTATTTTGTTTTACGCCTCGAAGTGGAAAATTGAGATTTTTCTTCATGAAGCCCCTGGAGACACTAAATGTTAAAGAATGGTTTGGAAGAAAGGAATAGCTTAAACCTGCTATCTCTGGATATCTCTGACATCCAAAGGAGAAAAAGTGGCAATTTCAAGGCCCTGGAAACCTACTGTGCAGATAGAAAGAGTCCAGAAGCGTTTAAGAAATATTAGTTCACTTGGTACTCTGAGTTCTTTACATTTCAATCCATCTGAACCTTCCCAAGCTGTTTCTAAAGACAGACAGATCCAACATGCTCCCAGGTACATAAAGTCCCTTCTGAACTGCTACCTTGTAATACCAAAATACACAGGTGCTGTGTATTTTGGAATATTTGGCACAGCCTCCCCTGATTGTTTCTCTGCCTGTTAACATCTCATTGCAGCCAGCTAAGCACTTCTTACCCCTATTTTCTATGTGATCTGTGTGTAGGCTCCACCACAGAAGCTTGCAGATCATTTTCAGAAAGAACTACTCCAGAAAGCAGGTGAGAGAATTCCTCTTCCATCACATCTGGTTGACCTTGTTCTATAAAGTCAGAGGTGTTCCCAGTTCTTCCAGCTTCACAGCACAAGGGGCTGGGAGCAAAGGAAAGCTCTGGAAGCACAATGCAAGGTCAGCAAGGGGTTTCAGCCCAGGGATAGAGCTGGTGAAGCTCAGGAACCTGCACCAACATCTCAGTAAGACCTGAAGCATTTCACAGAAAGAAAAAGCTGAAACCTCAGGGAGATGAAGTTGGCTGACAAACCAGGGCAAAAGGAAAATGTCAGGTCTGTTTGTCTAGTTGAGCAGCCACAACATCTCTCCTAGTACCAGCACTTTGTTCACCTTCTAAATAGCAACAAATGAAAGAGCAGGGAACTCACCTGCACGTAGACTGCCTGGGAGCTGTGCACCAGGAGAAGGACTGCAAGGACTGCAAAGGACAGAAAGCTTCTCATAGTGCCTGCAAAGCACAGCCTAGATAGATCTTCTTTTCTCCTGGCTGGGATCTTCCCTAGTCTTTCTTTGGTGCCTCTCAGACTTCCTCCTCTGAGCACTCAGAGCTCTGTGCTTCCAGGGCAAAGCTGGAGCTTTATAAAAACTCCACACAGCATTTGCTTGGTAATCCATTAATCTAAACTCTTTATTGCCATTTAATAAATCCTCAGTGGACTATCAGTTAGCTGCTCATTAGCAGGTCAGGCCAGCCACACCCAGGCAGATCCTGGGCTTTATGAGTCTCTCCCTCTTTGAGGAACAACCTGTGACACAGGAAGACAAAACATTCCAGCCCACGCTAAATAAATAGCAGAGATCGATTTAATGCAACGTCTGAAGCTCAAGTCTCCACGTGGGGAACATACCTGGCTTTGTGGCCCCTTGCTGCAGAGCTGTGAGAAAGGAAGAATGTTGGAAGAAGACAGAAAGAAGTCAAACTTGCAGGTTGCTGGGCAGTTAGTTCCCTCTTCTGGGGATTTTGGGTACTAAGAGGGGAGCCCTAGAGCCAGGCAGATGAACACAGCCTGTGCCTGCAGGTGACCAGCTATGAAATACCATCTTGCTGCAGCTTTTTGCAGCAGCTAATTAAAATGAAAAGGCACAAGGGTTGTCATTAAGGACATTGAGAATCATGTTGTGCTGCTTTGGTTTGGTGGGGTTTTTGGTAGAGGGGGAAGGACCCCACAGGTCACTACTAAGAAGCTCCCCCTGCTCCTAAACTAGCCAAGGAGCCATTAGAGGGACAACAGATGCACCTTTGCTATTAACATAGGAAAGAACTGAGATAAGAGCTGAGCAGAGCAAGGAAGAGCTGAGCTGGAGAAGCAGAGGGTGCTGGTGGTTGGTGGGGAAGAAGGTGCCCAAGCAGAAGTTTCCCTGCAGCCCACGGCGAGATGGCAGGTGTCCTGCCATGGAGGAACCTGGTGGGACATTCCCTGAAGGCACCAGGAGGGGGGAGCTTGTCCAGTGGCCTCGGATGGTGCAGCTGTGGAAGCCCCCAGGCCAGGGGAGGTGCCTGTTCCAGAAGCCCCCAGGACTGGAGCAGCTCTGGGCTGGTGGGAAGGGCTGATGGAGGAGAGGCTGGTGAAGGATCTGCCATGGGAGGGACCCGTGGGGAGCAGGGCAGGACTGTGAGTAATCTTCTTCCTGAGGAGGAAGGAGCAGCAGGAACCACCAGCCTGTGCAGTGACTCCAAACCCCATCCCCATCCCCCTGTGCCTGGGAGGAAGGAGGGAGAGAAATGGGGAACAAAGGGATTTGGATGGGAATGGAGGGGTGGGGTGAGGTGTCTGTGTCCTGTGGGCACTGATTAGTGTGAAATTAAATTATTATTTTTCCCCAAGTTGAGTCTGTTTTGCCCAGGGCCTCAATGGGTGAAGATCCCTCCTTGTCCTTTGTCTGGACCCAGGAGCTTCTGGTTGGGTTTGTCCTCCCCATCCCAGGGTGTGTGTGAGGGGGGAGCTGAGTGAGGCCACAGGGCTGGTTCTTTGTTGTGTGTCCTGGTTTGGACCCAGCATGACATCTATTTATCTGTGACTTCCAGCCACATCCAGCACACACAAGCTGTATGGGGCAGTGACACACCCCAGGGACAGGATGTCACCTCACCCTGAGGGACCTGGACAAGCTGGAGAAGTGGGACCATGTGAACCTGCTGAGGTTCAACAAGGCCAAGTGGAAGGTCCTGCCTAAGGGTTGGGGTGATCCCTAATCCCAACACAGGCTGGGGATGCAGGGCTGGGGAGCAGCCCTGCCGAGAAGGACTTGAGGGGCTGGGGGTGACAAGCTGGACACGAGCCAGCCAAAAGCAAAGCATCCAAACCAGCCTCCAGGCTGCATCTCCAGCAGGGCCAGGAAAGGGATCCTTCCCTTCTGACCTGGTGGGATTCCCCCCTGCAGAGCTGCCCTGTCCCAGCCAGGGCCATTCAGAACCCCAGATTGCTCTCCATGACTCCCCTCCACCCTCCCAGGGGCAGAGAGAAGGGGAGTAAGGAGGAGATTGCAAGGGTGGAAGTAAAAAATGGAACAGGTTTAACCCAACAGGGGAGGGATAATGAAAAAATGAACTGTGGGATAATAAAAAACCCAACAAAACTAACACATACAAAACCCGATTTCAATGGACACCATAAAATTAACTTGTGTCCCCTCAAACCAGAACCTGTGTCCAGTTCTGGGGTCCTCAGCACAGGAAAGACACAGATGTGCTGGTGCAGGTTCAAAAGCCACAAAGATGATCCAAGGGCTGGAGCAGCTCTGCCCTGGAGACAGGATGAGAGAGCTGGAGTGTTCAGCCTGGGGAAAAGAACCTTCCAGTGCCTGGAGGGACTTGGGACAAGGGCAGGGAGGGATGGGAGGAGGGGGAAACTAGAAGAGGGGGAGTTTAGGTTGGACATTAGGAAGAAATTCTTAGCTTGAGGGTGGTGAGAGCCTGGCCCAGGTTGCCCAGGGAAGCTGTGGCTGCCCCATCCCTGGCAGTGTTGAAGGGCAGGTTGGATGGGGCTTGGAGCAGCCTGGGCTGGTGGGAGGTGTCCCTGCCCATGCAGGGGGTTGGAACTGGATGATCTGCAAGGGCCCTTTAAGGAACTTGAACCATTCCATGATTCCATGACTCCATGACAACCATGTTTCTAGGACCTGGGGCACTGGCACAGCCCCACACACCCAGTCCCTGGTGGTGCTGTGCTGGTTGAGCTGATGCTGCCATCCCTGGCAGAGCAGGAACTGGTGCTGCCATTGCTGGTGCTGCTGCCAGTGCCAACGGTGCCACCACCGTTGCTGCCATCGCTGCTGGAGCCGTTGCTGGTGGTGCTGGTGGAGCTGGTGCTGGCTCAGGCCATCCCTGCTGCTCCTCAGGTCATACCCCCTGAGTCCCACCTGCCCCAGGGAGAGGCCAGGCTGTGCAGTGCCCATTCCCACCCAGCCATGAAGAGGCTCTGGCGCTTCCTGCAGAGGAAGAAGAGGGTGCAGCAGGGACCTGTGTCCTCCCCCAGCAGCTGTGGCCAAGAGCTCCAGCCAGAGGGCTGGGATGTGCTCCAAGTACAAGGCATCAGGGTGACCAGAAGCTCTAGGGGAGAGGTATGTAACACCAAAGATCTTCATTGAGAGCCTTCCTTTCAGGACTCCTAATGCAAAGTAAGGCTTTTCTGCCTAACACAGTTGTTGAAGACTCTGCCATCAAGTTGGTGACAGTCCTCTTCTGGTTCTGTGAGATGCTGCCAAGATCTCCTGCACTGAGCTCATTTCCTAAGCTCTGTCCATTTATGTTCTTTACCTTGGAACAGGCAGGAAACATCCCAACACCAAGGGCAGGGTCCAATTCAGCCTTTTCCCACCTGAGCCCTGGAAGTCAAGAGACAACAGGAAGCCACCAATTCCAGACTTGTAGCACACCCTATCAGAACTGGCCTGGTGACACTGAGCCTGTGGTCCAGCTGCAGAAATCCATCATGAGCCTGTCCCAGCAACTGAGCAAAGCCCAAAGGAAGGTGAGTGGAAAAAGTGCCAGGGGAGGTTCAGATTGGATATTTGGTCTTCACTGAAAGTGTGGTGAGGCCTTGGGACAGGCTGCCCAGGGAGGTGGTGGGGGCACCATCCCTGGAGGTGCAGGGCTGGTGGTTGGACTTGATGATCTTGAAGGTTTTTTTCAACCTGGATGGTTCTCTGCTTCTCAGAAGATGCAGAAACTGGAAGGTGCCTTTGGGGGTTTCTGCTTGTTCCTGAAGATGATGCTACACTCTGTGGGGGTGCCAGTGCCCGTGCTGGGGTTGGGCTGCAGCCCTTTCCCCCGGGATAAGAGGCATGGCCTCCCAGAGCCACCTCAGGTCATCAGCCTTGGTGCTGCTGTTGTGCTGCACAAAGGAAAAAAGCAAGGCCTGCCCACACGTTTC